TCGTTTAGAGCAAATATACGATACACCGTATAATTCACTCTCCTGTCTAAGTTTTCAAGCTTCTGGGTCAAAAGCTCTAAGTTATCTACAACAGTATTTAATAAACTGATCTCCGGTTTTCCCTCGAGACCATGATCTAAATGAAAACAAGTCTTATTTAAACAGACTTCATCATTTAAATCATTATTCATGCTATCAAACTTTCAACAGGTTAACCAACAGGTTAACAGGTATAAACACCTATACCCCCGGTCTTCCAAAGCTCTGATACCATTTAGACCCACATAATATTTGTAAGAGACTGGGTATTACAAATATTATGTGGGTCTAAATGATATCAGAGCTTTGGAAGACGGGGGGTATAGGTGTTTATACCTGTTAACCTTTTAAATCCATATAACCATATTTTTAATTCTTTCTCCATATTAACCACTAATGTTGTGTTTTGCTGGGGTTGGGAATGAGAATGAGAATGAGACTGAGAATCTTATTCTCTTATTTTGTTGGGAAAAATGGGTAGAGGAATGTCCATTCCCTAAAATTTTGGGGAATGCCCATTTTAGAGGCATTTTACTTATTCTTGATGCAAAATCAATCCATTTTACCCTTGATTGATTTTATTAAATTAAAATATTGTAAAAAGCAAAGTATTATTGTGCCCCCATTGATATTAGCAAACAACCATTGCTACGTTAATATCATTATTGAGCTTGTTTGGCTGAGCTTATAAAATTAGTTTATAAACAACTAGTGTTTAGAAGTTAATTTGAACTTACAAGTATTTAAAATTTAAACAGTTAAGTGTTTTATTAAAGTACCTATAAGTGATTAATAAGTATTTGACATGTTTGGCAAAATGTGGCTTATAAATACATTTTATTATTAAAATGGCTAAAAATAGTACTACATTATTAAAAATTAGGGTATATAATAGAATTTTAAAATTAAAAATGGGTTATGTGGTAATATACTTGGTTAAAATAATTTATAAGCAAGTGCTTATAACCAAAAAAAAAAAAAAAAAAATACATTCCCCTAACTTATTTCTTTGGGGCTTACAAACATAACAAAACTATAAACAAAGAGGTCAGTTTAATTTTAAAGCTTATAAGCTAGTTTGACCAGCTTATAAACTTAAACAAACACCTCGTTGTCAATGTTGATAAATAGCAATAACTACACTTAGGAGGTGTTTATTTATTTTATTTTATTTTTCATCTGAAAGTTAAATAAGTCTGTTAGTTGAATTTGTCTAAATATAAAAGTCTAATGGATATGTTTGTTTTTTATTTTTCAATGTTTAATTATAAGTATTGAGTTGTTTGTTTTTATAACAATAAAAATTTTAAAATTGGTGTTTTGACACATGTATCCTTATTATGTATTATATGGCTTTTTTTTACTTGATTTAAACAATTTTAAATTATTAAAATCTAAACAAAACAAATGTTATAGGCTAAATATAACTATATATATATATATAATTATATTATTTTGATATAATTTTTAAAACCTATTATAACAAAAAAAAAAAAAAAAAAAAAATAACTAAAAGAAGATCAGAAATATATAAAGTACAAGAGTTTCATTAAAATCAGAATTATACAAATTTTGTAGGGCTATTGTTAACAAATAAAAATTATTATTGATTAAGATGTTTTTGCATTAAAAAAAAGAACAAATATTTTTGGGTCCGTTTGTTTTATTATTTTGGATATAATTTTGAGAATAATATTGGGTAGTTGAATAGGAGAGTATTATGAGGTAAAATTTAAAAATTTATAAAAAAAAACCCCTAAGTTTGCTAATTTAACTAAACACCTCAATATATAAAATTTTTGTAAAATGACAAAAACACCCCCACCACCCGCAGGCCAGAATCTGGTCGAAAAATTGCGTAACGACACATACCAGTCGGATCTGGCGGTTATGGCATTGATATGGCCTTTTCGGCCAGATTCATGGGAAAATGCCAGATCTACAGCCAGATGTGGCTGTCGACGGCCGCAAAAGTCCATCCCGACGACCAAAGATATGGTCGCCGTTATCGATCAACGATGGCCAAGATTTGGCCGTCATTTGGCCATCGTTGATGGCCAGATCGGTGAATCACCGGCCAATTCTGGTCGTGGTATAGGCTGTTGTGACAGATTCCGGCTACCTCCGATGGTGGTTGCCAGAATCTGGCAAGTATGGGTCGGTGGGGGTGTTTTTATTAATTTTTAAACTTTTTTCTGGGGGTATTAATAAAATTAATAAACTTAAGGGATCTAAAAGTGATTAAAAAGTGATTAAAAAATATAGTAATATTTTTCAAATAATGTGTCAAACAATATTTGGGGAATAGGATTAGGAATATGAGTAGAAATATGGAACCAAACACACTCTTTGCTTTTTACTTATATTTTATTGTCAGATAAAAGCTAAAAAAACAAATAAATATAAAAGTTTGAGTAATACTAGCCTTACAAAGAAGCATACAAAGAGACAAATCCAGCTCTTAAAAGAAGGGAAAAAGAGAGAGAGAGAGAGAGAGGCAATCATGAATTTAAATGGCTGGATTTGTCTCTTGTATACCTCTTTGTAAGGCTAGTATTACTCTAAAAGTTAATGGTGGCTAGGGCTACGGTAATTTCGCAAGTTTCAAAGGTTGTATATAATATTAACTTATTAAAAAATAATTACACATAATAAAAAATTAGAATGATATTATTGAAGCTCGCCAAATTTATTTTTAAGCCTCGCTAATAATTTATTAAGAAGTCTATTTTCAATTATTAATAGTAGAACATCTCTATAGTGATACTTTATATAGGATTAACATCTATGTAGTTATAAAAAATTATGGTTCCAACTTGGACCAGTTATAAATAAAAATAAATTTTACATTGTAATAAGTTATAATTTTTATAAATCACGTTTTAAGGAACTTTCCTCTACTAGGGCGTTTAGATTATAGGGGAATATTATATTAATAGAAAGAAATATCACTTTGACGATTATTGAGAATATTTAGAAAATGTGTTTGGTTGGTTCAAATAAATCGATGAATAATATGTTTGGTTGGGAGGATAAATGGGTGAATATATTATATAGATTAATAAATTTTCCTCATTTTTAAATATTAATATAATAGTATTTATTAGTATTATTTTTTAAAATCATTATTTTAACCCCTATATTTGAAAATTTACTAAAACACCCAAGCCATATAAAAATTAATTTGTAGCAAAATCACCCCCACTCACCCCAAGCCACTGCCGACAGCCAACCACCACCGCTGGCCGCCACCGACAGTCGATGAAATGGCGCACGATTAGCCATACATGGTTGGTCTTGTGCCGGCAAAGCTAGAAATGGCCACGGATCACAAATTCATGGTCGAAAAACAGTCAAATATATGGTCGTGAACGCCATATCTGGTCGTTTTCACGACCGACCAGATCCCGATGGTTGTGCACCATTATGGCAACTGATGGCAGAGATCGGCGATAGTCTAGGGTGATTGGGGGTATTTTGTTAACTTTTAAACTTTTTTGTAACTGGGTGTTTTAGCTAATTTCTTAAATGTAGGGAGGTTGGGGTAATTCTTATTTGGTAGACATATGAAAGTAATTGTGTCCGAAATGGTTTTTAAATAGGGGCAAAATGGGTAAAAAAATCATATTATCCCAGTAATGTTTTAATAACATCCCCTAGCAAGGTAATAAGATTACCCCACACATTACCAACAGTAAACATTATTTACAACAAAAGATTACCGTAATATTTTATTACTTACAAACCAAACACTGGAATTTTGTAAAATAAATGAAGATTACCCCGGTTATCTTATATACCCCTGATCTAAACGGCCCCTACATATTAATAATTATATGTATATTGCAAAAAATATATGTTATGTTACATTAAAGGTTTAAGATTGAATAAAATATTTATCTTAAGTTGTTTGGGATAATGATTTATGTTTTAGAGTTGTTACTACATCTTTTATTTTGCAGGTACGTAATAAGTTGTTAGTATGAATATCTTCTTATTGAAACCAAAAATATTTCAAGCTTTTCAAGCATATTTAGAGTTTTTTTGCATGAAACGTTTGGTATTTTCGTACTATCATCCTCGATTATCTCTTTCCTTATCTTGTATAATTCCAGTAATTATTTCTTCTTCAATTAAAACATACATACTTATTGCTCATTTGGATGATTGAGAAAGACATTAATATCCATTTGATTAGCGTAGTGAAGTTGTCAAATTTGATCATTCAATTTCACAATAACTTTTTGATATCCATTTTTGTAATATCCTAATTATATTAAAACAATAAATTAAAAATCTTAATACTATTAAAACATGAATTGGAAATCTTAATACTACTAAAACATGAATTATAAAATAAAAAATCAAGTAATATTCATATCATGAAAAGTAAATAAGAAATTCTAATACTATTAAAACAATGAATTGAAATCCTACTAAAACATGAATTGAAATCCTAATTCTATTAAAATATGAATTATAAAATAAGAATTCAAAACAATAATTTTTGTAACAACGTATCTATTAAGTTATAACTTCCTTATACTAATAAATTTAGTCGATCCAAATATGATGACTGTAGAGAAGTTCTATTGTATTAAAAAATGTTTTTACTTTTTTAGTACTCTGGTATATTAAAAAAACTATTTTCTTTTTCAATACATTAAACTCTTTGTTTTCTTGTAAAATACAGTTTGAAATTAATTATATTTTTGTTTGAAGGGATGGAAAATAAAAATAAAATAATAATGGATATTCACATTAACTATTCTTGTCTTCAGGTTTGTCTTAAGAAATTCCGTTAACTAAAGTTTAAAAAATTTAATTATGTTTTTATGATTTTATTTTAAGAGATGGAAAATGGAATCAAACAACTGAAATAAAATATTCACGTTAACTATTCTTATATTAACTTCAGGAAATTCAGTTCAATCGTCGTTTAAATTGGAGAGTTAATCGATGGTTAAAAATACCCACCTCTGTCAATCGCTATAATTTCGCAATTTATATATATGAGAAATATATTGGATATTCTATAAAATAATTTGAAATACAATTCATGTTTGCCTAATATTGTGACTTTCCTCCCCAGAATCCAGATCCAATAAAAGATGCAGACAGAGTCAGATCCCACATTTGCTTCTCCATTTCTTCTGACGATCATATTTCAATAATTAAAAATTCAAGGTTGTCACTATAGCACACTGATGGGAAGTTACTATAATGAATTTCCGGGTCTATGACCAAATGGCAACTGATTCAATATACACATCTTGTATTCTCCACCAGCAATAGCATTCACTCCATTGGTATTGTTACCTACAGTGTCCATTTTCTTCACATACATGATACATACATCTTTATCACCGTGATTTTTGATTCCTAACAATGGAAGTAAATAAGATATCTCATCCAGGCATCCACAATAAATCTATACGCTGTCAGATTTGAGTTTGTCACGGAAGCCATTGAAGTCTTCGAGATCAAACCAATCCTCCTTCATCTGCAGTGCAGCAACACAAAAAAAAAAAAAAAAAGGGAAATTAACAGTTACTCGAAGAATATGATTTTCCTAGAATATAAATTGGCAGAATGTTGCAAGACGGTGGAACTTACAAAGCAAGGGTAGCCCTCAGTGATGCAAAAATTTTCAGGGGCACCATTCACAAACTTACTTATATAGTAAAGCACGAAATATCCACAATCCTTTTCGTTTCTTTGTTGGGGAACCTGGGCATAATTTGTTTCAGTCACATGAGTGAAACTTGACAATTAGGAACTCGAAAAGCAACCAAGAGATAAAAGTATTATCACCTCAGGCACCAGGAGAGGTATCTGAGAAACACGTGCTTTGTTTTTTGGCATTGCTTCTGCTTCATAAATGTCCAGGGCAAACCTGAGAATAAAATGAAAATGAAAATTGCGAGCCGTGACAAACAAATGTACAACACAAAAACTAATTTAAACTGTGGCAAAATCACATTGCAGGTTTTGGAATCATACTTTCTTATCAGAGGTTCAAGCCTCATTGGGTCATCAGCCATTCGAAGTGAATCTAGCAACAACATGCATGAAGTTTTAGGTTCCAATTGCGAACTTCCACCAAAGTTGCAGATGATCAATAGATTCCAGTGACTCCTAATAATATTAAATCTCAAACTATATAACCCAAAATGACCAAAAGTAATAAAGATTTAACGTCTACAAATGTGAGAACAGAAATACCAACCAGAGGACAATAGGAATAAAGACATATTTCTTTGAGAATATGTGCTTATTCTTAATCCAAGTCAGCACCTCCCCTTTGTAAGATTCTTCCGTGTACAAAGAAAACCATAAGCAGTCAAGATATATAAAATCCGAAATCTTATCTTCTGGAAAATTCCTCCATAAATTCCTATGAAACCCGAAACTTATCATCAAGAGATAAAAGGGAAACCAATTTTTTTCACAGTAAAGTTAAGGAGTCTACCTCAAATAGCAATCAAACAAACCGCTGTTCAACATCCCCTGATGCCTAGAGTTTGAAAATCTGTGAACTCGCCTATTTGACCGTCGACAACGAGGAGAGGCACCTATAGAGCGTAATGAAATCTTCTTTGAGAAAATTACTTCAGATATTCAATTGGTTGGATGTTTCAGATATGTCCTCTCAAACTTTACACAGAAATGTGTGTACTGTTGTATGTGGAGTTCTATTATCTTTAATTTGTCTTCTGAAACCTAAAGCGTACCTCTGAAATGTCTTATGTTTAAAAGCTTAATTAATAGGTGATATGTGGTGTTATATTCTTTTGGCTAGAAAACTAATAAGGAATTACTTGTGTTCACTACACATACAGTGTGTGTGACTTCTGAACGAATGACTTTGTAGAAATGGTAACAAAATATCATGTAAAGGAGACACATTGTTTTTTAATATCTCTAGCACAGAATAACTCTTGCTAGAGCTGTTGAAGAATGCCAATAATCCCAAAAACAAATGCTAATTTATGTATCACACTAGCCCTAAACCCTTTTGAATAGAAATACTAATTTCTATACCAATGCTGGCACATTGCTGCAATGCATTGATACCCATTGAAATAAACTAAAGAATATTGTCAAATTAAAGTTCAATAAATTGGTTAGCTTTATAATTTACTTCTCAAATCACTGAAGTGGAAAATAAATTATAGCAATTCGAAATTCAAAATATCTCTTCTAAATTCGCATTAAATTTATCACGACTAAAAACCAAACGTAAACCCTAACTTTGACTCTGTTTCTCTTGACAACAGCTAACATATTATAACTGGAAAGTGCAAACATTCTTCTAAGAAAATGTGTCCGTAGCTTGCAGCAATCTAACAGTAGAGTTAATTTCTCGACAAAACGTTTTTGAAGCCCTAAAAATATTGTGATTATAGGCAAATAAGTTGAAGCATTGACAGTTGATAACCAATTACCTTGTTCAACAGAAATGAGAACAACGCCGCTTTCGTCGTCCTCTTCTTCTCGAATTTTCCTTTTTGCCATTTGAATCCGACTGGTTACAACTTTCTCCCTTTAGAGCTGATAGCTAAAGGCCTAAAGCGCTGCTTCACGGTTGAGACGTAATGTTTGGCCGCATGATAGTTCACACGCTTGTCTGGGTTAAGGCTATCCCCCTGCGGTCTTTCACGATATCATAGGGTGCGTTTGGTTCATTATTTTAGATAGAATTTTAGGGATAGTGTTAGATAGTTGGATAGGGTTATGATTACAAGAATATGATTTATAGAATATGTGTATGGTAGAGTATTTTGATCTTGATATTTGTGTTGAATATTTGATTAATATATTTTTTTATAAATGATTTATTAATATAATATTTTGTTTGGTTTTGTTAAAATAATGTATTATTATATATATAACTCAAGTTACATTTTGAGGTGGGTTCACGACTGTGAAGATGCAGTAGCTGAGGTGGGTTCACAGCTGTGAAGATGCAGTGAAGAAAATGGTTCACGGTTGTGAAGATGCAGTGAAGAAAATAGTGAAGCGGCTGTGAAGATGCAGTGCAGAAAATGGTGAACCAGTGAAGAAAAGTGAAGAAAAATGAAAACTGTAATGGTAAAAAATGGATACTGAGAAAGCTGACAAAGCTGTGAATATGCAGTGAAGAATTCAAAATTGTGTCAGGATTGTATTTTGGGGATAGAATTATGTAAAAAATGAACCAAACACAATCCTAATAATCCGGTCCAGAGTATGGAAAATAATAATGAACCAAACACAGTGATAATTTTCATAGCTTTTAGAATAATTTTTGAAAAAAGTGAAATTATGCATAGGATTTAAAAATTAATAAAAATATCTTTTATGTTTATTTATTTACTAAACAACTCTATAATAAAATATTAAAAATTAACAAAAACACTTCTAACCCATCCATTAAATACGGACAACTGGTCACCACCGTCGGAGGGTGGTCGGAGTATTTTTGTAATTTCTAAAAAAAAATATTTTAAGGTGTTTAATTAAATTAACAAATTTAAGAGGTTTAAAATAAATTGAAAAATATAAAATAATATTTTGGGAATAATGATATTTTACTGTTTAACTTTTTTGGGAATACTAATAATAGCATTCCCAAAACAGAACCAAACGAAGCCTTTATTGTCGCAATAACACTACGGACACCGAAAAACAAGCACTGAATTTCTGTACCAGCCTACGTGTAACGCGCATCTCTATTTTTTTACAATTTTTTTCTAGTGAACGGCCGTCCATCAAATTTGGACGGCCGTTCACTCACATGGACGCCCGTCCATATTATATGGACGGGCGTCCATATGCAAGGGACGGCCATCCAAATTTGAAGGACGTCCGTCCCTATTAAAATAAAATTAAAAAATTTGTATAACCTTAGGGACGGCCGTCCATCCATTATGGACGATCGTCCATTAATTTTGGATGGGTGTCCACAAATAATGGACGCCCATCCTTCACCCAAATATGAAAAAAAAAAATCTTTGAGGACGCCCGTCCACCAATTGTGGACGGCCGTCCCTTGCTTTTGGACGGGCGTCCATAATTTTTGGATGCCCGTCCATGCACTTGGCTTTTACAAATCTTAAAAAAACGATGGACGGCCGTCCTTTTATTGTGGACGGGCGTTCGTAAGCAATGGACGCCCGTCCAAAAGTAATTCATAAAAAAAAAAAAAAATTTTTAACACTGGACGGTCGTCCCTAACTTGTGGACGGCCGTCCATTCATTGTGGGCGGGCGATACTGAATGGACACCAGTCCATTCATTATGGATGGTCGTCCAACCATTATGGACGGCCGCCCATACTGAATGGACACCCGTCCATTCATTATGGATGGCCGTCCAACCATTATGGACGGCCGCCCATACTTAATGGACGCCCGTCCATAATGTTATTAAAATTTTTAAACAAAAATTTTTCGTGTTTTAGGTTAAAACATTTAGGGAAGTTTCAAAATTTTTTAACACCCAGGCAGCCATTACCATCTTCTTCGTCTTCCATTGAAAGAGAAATTACATTTTCTAATTAAGCTGTGCCTTTTTGTTACAAATATGACAACAAAGACTATCAACTGAATCAAACACCATTCCAATACGAGACTCTACTTCTTCCTCTGCACATCCCATATCTTCTAATTCATCACGTTTATTTTCCTGATTTAATAGTTTTTATAATACATAAAATTAGAATGTACTAATACAACATCAAAATAAACAATACGATACAATAAATTTACTTCAACATCATTGAAATGAGGCAAACTGGACTCTTCCATATTCTGAGCCAAACTGGACTCTTCCATATTCTGAGCCAAACTGGACTCTTCCATATTCTGTAATTTAATGCCAATCCAATACTAGTGTTCACATTCACAAAATCTGATTCATAACAATCACCAACAAATTTTCTCTATCAATTTTTTTCTATTGTAACATATATTAAATTCAAAATATAATACAAAACGAAATAAATGAATAAGTTATATAAAAATTTCCACTGTAAAAAACTAAATAAATGTATAAATTATATAAAAATCGTTTATTAACCTGCACAAATCTCTCTAATCTCCCTTTCCCTGTAAAAAATAGATCTCTCTTTCCACTGTAAAAAATGGATATGGTTTGATGAAAAGATGATAGCTTTCGTTCTTCACACAGTAGCTGGAAAATGAGGAAAAAACGTTTGTTGCGGGAAAAAATGGTTGAGGAATGCAGACGCAACACTGAGACAAAGAACAGACGGCAACGATGAAGCAGAAGGGGACGACGAATTTTGGCGCTGGTTTTCTTTCGCTCGAAGAATTTTAGCGCTTGTTGTTGGAGAAGCGTATTGGAGAAGCTAATGTAAACAAAAAAATATTTATTAAAAAAACGCGAAATTTTGGTTTAAATTTTTTAATAACATTATGGACTAGCGTCCATTAAGTATGGACGGTCATCCATAACGGTTGGATGACCGTCCATAGTTTTTTTAAGATTTGTAAAAGCCAAATGCATGAACGGGCGTCCAAAAATTACAGACGCCCGTCCAAAAGTAAGGGACGGCCGTCCAAAATTGGTGGACGGCCGTCCCTAAAGATTTTTTTTTTTTTTCATATTTGGATGAAGGAGGTTATACAAATTTTTTAATTTTATTTTAATAGGGACAAGCGTCTTTCAAATTTTGACGGCTGTCCCTTGCATATGGACAGCTGTCCCTTGCATATGGACGCTCGTTCATATAATATGGACGGGTGTCCATGTGAGTGAACGGCCGTCCAAATTTGATGGACGGCCGTTCACTAGAAAAAAATTATAAAAAATTGGAGATACGCGTTACACATAAGCCGGTACAGAAATTCGGTGCTCCTTTTTTGGTATCCGTAGTGTTATTGTTATTGTCGTTGACTTTTTTATGCAAATTTCTGCACTATAATTTGCATAAAAAGTTCGCAAAAGGAAAAAATTCTCCGAAAGAATATCGCAGACTATCTTATATTTTGTAATTTATCATTCAAATAACAATTTTTGTACTTTTAATAGGCCCTTAAAGTTTAAAAATTATCATAAATACCCTTTACCCTAATTTATTATATTATCATTATGTTTATAAAACATTTTCTTATAACCGAAGTTCTTATTTAACTCATCTGCAACAAACGATAGCATAACAAAATTAAGGTAAAGGGGCATCATGATACGATTTTTAAACTTTTAAGATCCATTAGATTAAAAGTGCAAAAACCTTAGAAGTAGTTTATAATTTTTTTTTTCTTTATGACCGAGAGTGTCCGTACCAGTTTATGTGATCCTCAACAAATATTTCGAAACCCTGAAACTATCGGTCTGATAAGAGTTCTAGTGGTTATTGTTATTAGCAATTGAGAAGGGAGTTAAACTCATAATCTGTTGAATAATATATTCAAAAATCTTTATGGAATCACTCAACAACCCAAGGATAATTAATAGTTTATAATATTCTCCCCTCCAAAATAGATACTAATTAAAAGTATAACCATCCAATAAAACAAATGAGGAATGGAATGGTAAATTTATAAACAAATAATAATTTATTTCTAAATTTAGAAGTTGCACTCATAATTGGTCCCATAATTCCAAATTTAACCCAAACAAAGCTGGAAACTGTAAGTAGCAATAATCACAAAAGTTTCTCTTTTTATTTTGTTTTCATCCCCTCTTGCGCTCTCGCTTCTTCACAAAAGGACCGCTTGGGACTCATAATTTGTCCCTCGTGAATCGTATGCCTTACTTACCCACCCCCTACACAATTGTGGCCCATCCGATCAGAATCTAACGGTGGGATTATACTTTCTCAAGAGGTTAACTAAAATGGGCACATTAATTTCATGTTAATTGCTAAATAAAATCGTAATAATCTCGGGCTTTTGGGCCATGGGGTTGAGAAATGAGATTGACCATTGACCTCCTAATTTGGTCCCACCACTCCGACTTCGTGTATTCATTATTAATGCGGTGGAATGTGTTTCATGTAACTCATAATTGGTGGGTTTCTTCCTTTCTTTCACTTGGCAGCAATAATTGGCACGTTTCAGCGTGGTCCGTAGGCGTTTACTTGTTTGTTGATAAACTTCAGGTCTTATCTCTATCAAAATGATTCTATAAGTGAATAAATTACAAAATGCCTTCACATTATTGAACTACTTCACTGTAAATTAAACTTTCATGATTTCAAAACCATTAAAACCTTCTTTTATAAAAAGATTTGTAAACTGTAGGATATACATATTTTTCTTCTAGAGTCAAGAAATATAAAGAGAAAATCATTTAATTTTTTTTTTTTTTCAAATGTGTCTTTCGACAATAAATTGAGTTTAAATCAATTGGGTTAAACCTAATCTATTAATCATAAACAATTCTCTAGGAAATTAATTCAACTATATGCAAATAAATTCAAATATCTTAAAAAATTGCATTTACAAAAATAAATATCATTTGCACGAAATAAAATCATTTTATATAATATATATGACTTAAAATAAATTATTTGGGTTTTTGGCATAAAGATTAAAGACTATTAAAAAAACGTTCTTTTAAATGTAAGTGTCTGTTTAGTATGATTTATTGAGTAAAGCTTATGAAAATAAGTTTTTATGAAAAAAGTTTTTAGCTACTTGGTTAGGAAAACACAAAACTACTTCGTAGTGTTAATTTACCAAAAAGGGTTTTAGTATTATGTACAAAAATAAATTAAGTAAAATATACAAAACACCCTCGGTCACTGCACACCCTTGTCGGAAACACCCCGTGGTCACCTCCATCACCTTCTCCGTAATCCGTCGTCCAAAACCCCTCTGGTTCCTGACTCATTGCCCCTCCAATCACCGACGCCGTTAGGCTTAGGGTTTCAGTGTTCTTTGTTGGATTCCGGTTGATTCCGACGGCGAAAATCCAATTGGACACCACCACTGAACCACCCTCTCCAAATCTATAAAACCTCTATATCCCCAGCAATCGTTTCGTCACCATTAGCTGGCTGAGAGTTCATATTCATCGGTTGTTTTTTGCTGAAGTGGTGGACGACAAACGGTGAGGTTTCGTGGCTGGGAAGGTTATGGGTTTTGTAGTGGAGGATGTGAGGAGTCAATTGGTGATGGTGGTTGGGGTTGACACTGTTCAAAACGGTCGAAAACAGGCAAAAACAATTCACATGTCACGGCTGCTATGACCGGTAATCGACGAGTGATGAGGGGTTGTGAAGGGTATAGTTTTGTAGAGGGGAGGATGAAGTTTCATATAGTGGTAACAATGGTGATTTTGGGTGGAAGAATCGCTGAAAAAAGGGCAAAAAAGGTTGGGGACGCCATTTGCTAATGTGCTCCAAAGGACTGTTAGAGGCGGCAGTCTGTTAACGTGCGCCTCCCATGTAAAATGACCAATTTACCCCTTTATCGTTACATCAAACTTTTTTCGTCACTTTAAGGGTGAAATATGTAATAAATGTAACCTTGGATACCAATTTAGGATTTCGTCATACCTTGGGTGGGAATATGTCATTTACTCTATGCTGTATATACAAATTTATGATTCAAAACTCATAGAACTCACAAATGTATGCATAATTATATATAAATATTGATAAATTGAATTAATAGTGTTTATCTTTAAAATTCATATATAAAATACATGATATTTTTAAATAGTATAATTAAGTTGAAATACATATAATATGCATTTATGTATATGTATTAATGGAATTTTAACTATGACATTTCATCTAAAAATATGACATTAAATAATTATTATAAAATTAAATATATTGTGAAAATAATATTGTAACAAGAGCAGCTTGAAAAAGAGGATAACCTACTCACATTGAACTTTTCACTTCTCCAACTGTTAACACTATAACATAGTAACGCACCCGTCAGTCCGTCACTGCCGTGGCGTATTCTAAGAAAGAATCAGAACTAATTTTGCTAACCTAAACCAACAACCAATTCACAACCTTATTGATAAGATGCTATCTTATACCGGTCAGCTACGGCCACTCCCTTCTCTCTGTATAATATAAGCTCCCAATACGGATGAATGCATCAAATTTGTGTGCACCAACGGGAGTACAAGACACAGACAAATTTAAAAAAAAAAAAAACAAAACGATGCTAATAAATATAAAATAATTCCCTTCCTATATAATTAATTTGATTAATTTATGTATTCTCTCTCTTAGTATTGAACAGAGAGAAACAGGAAAGAACCAAAAGAAACACCAAACCGGGAGAGTCATGGTGTCAACGAGACGAAGTGGATCTCTTTCTGGTAACAATAGTAAGAGATCTTCGTCTTCTGAGGATAAGCCGCCGTCACCGAAGCGTCAGAAGGTGTTTATATTTTGTGTTTTATTACCTTTTTTGTTGATTTTTTTTCCTTTTGAGTCAAGGGGTTTGGGTTTTGATGAAACTGTGGGATTTAAGTTCTAAATTCTTGGAATTTAAGGTCGAAAATGGGGGAGCGGCGGAGAAACCGATGCCGGCGACGGATAATTCCAAGGAAATGTGCGTTCCGGCGGCGGCGGATCCCGGAGAATGCGGGACTGGAGATGCCCCGATCGCGGGAGAGGGTGTGACTGGCGGGAAGACAGAGGCCACGTCAGCAGTGGCCATGGCGACACCGGTCGCTGAAGGTAGTTGTTTTCAACTCTTATAAAAATAAGATTGTCAGTGTTTATCATTTCTATGCAAGTGTATTTTTTCAGTGAATTTCGGATTAGAGTTTGAATTTCTTGGAGTTTTTTCTTGGTTTGGTTGGTTCTGTTTCTTTGGAAGGGTCGACACCGGTTGTGATGGAGAAGCCGAGGAGTTCATTCTCTTCTTGGAGTTTATGTCATAAAAATAATCCAAGTTTTGACGCTGCAATGCCTTGGTGCAGGCTTTTGTCTCAGTCTGGACAGGTAATTTGACTATTTGAGTTCTTTATGCCGAGTTTTACTAGTATTACATTTTTTTCATTATTTTTTTCAAATGGAAATCTAATGTAGCTATTTGCGCATCAAATTTTGCAATTAGCTGTAGTAGATAGATAGCCGTGATTTTGTTTTGAGGTGTTTGTTATATATAATATATAATGAGAATATATAACGAGTGAAGCATTCTATGCTGCAGAATGCAAATGTACCTATTTGCTCGTCAAACTTCTCAATTGGATCAAACAGACACTGCGATTTTCATTTAAAGGACCAGGTCATTAGTGCAATTCTATGCAGGATAAAGGATATACAGGTATTTTCTAAATTCATGCTCAGAATGTTTCAAATTTTGTGGGATTTATTGCAAAGCTAAACAAATTGGTGCTGCTGAAAGAGGCATGTGATCCAGATTTTCATTCCTAGTTGGGTGGACCATTTTTGGAGTAGCCTAGTTAGATGCCATTGCATTTAGTATTTGGGCATTTTTTTTTTTTTTTTAATCTTGTTACTGGTAACAATTGGTTTTTATTTTATTTGTGGGGATAAACTCCTTAAATATGTATATGCAGTATGAGTACTCATTATTTGTGGACATGATCAGAGCGAAGGCAGTAACGTGGCCATGCTAGAAAGCACAGGAAGCAAGGGTTCAGTGCAAGTAAATGGGACAATTGTGAAGAAGACTACCAGTTGTGTGCTTAAGTCAGGTGATGAGATCGTCTTTGGTTCACTGGGGAACCATGCTTATGTATCCTTTCCTGTTGTATGAGGGCCATTTGTTTACCTACTTCTTCCTGCTTGTTAGTGATAATGTAGTGCCTTTTTGGTTTTTCCCCACTCCATCTGCTGTTTTCTTTTGTGTTTAAGTGTTAATGTATCTCTTATATGGGTGAATTCCTTAATTTTTCTCAACATAGATATTTCAACACCTCTTGCCTGAGGTTGCAATTAAAGGTACAGAGGTTCAAAGTAGTGCAGGAAAGTTTTTGCAGCTTGAGAGGAGGACAGGGGATCCTTCGGCTGTGGCTGGGGCTTCCATTTTGGCATCTCTTTCCAGCCTGAGGCAAGATTTATCACGTTGGAAATCTCCACCTCCAACCACCGGTAAACTCCACCAAGGGGCTGAGTTGCCTACTCCTGTTGATCCTGATGGTACAGAGGTTGATCTTGATCGTGTGGAAGGCAATTCAGCTGTAAACGGAGAGAATGATAAAGCTGCAGACGTTGGAGCAGCTGGCAAGAATATTTCTCTTGAAGGCAACCAGGATGCTGGCATAGAGGCAGGCAATGTAAAACTCTCTGGGGTGAATGATTTGCTAAGGCCTTTCTTGGGGATGATTGCTCCATCAACTAGTTGTAATCTGAAATTGAGCAAAAGTATCTGTAAACAGGTATTGGACGAAAGAAACGAGTGGAGAAGGGATTCGCAGCCAGCATCAACGGTGGGTATGTCTCTAAGGTGTGCAGTCTTCAGAGAAGACATTCGTGCTGGAATTCTTGATGGTGCAAACTTACAGGGGTCATTTGAAAATTTCCCATACTATCTAAGGTATGATATATTTCTATTTTTCTTATAAAAAATTATATTTTATTTCTGCTATTCTATATTTGTTAAATTTGATGTTTTCAAGTTATTGTCCAAGTATTCCTATAATCTCTTGCATCTTCAACACCAGCATGTCAATTCCTGGACATATTTCCACATGTGATGACTTGCTTTGTTTTCTTGCTATTATATGTAATATTGTTGGGGCTAGTCTAGGAGCATGCACGTCATTTGGTTACAGTAGGTTTCTTCTGGTTGCTGGGTGGAGTATTTTTCAGCTGGATCAAATGTTTTATTTTGTTTCACTATGCATTCTTGTAGTTGCTGGGAGTGCTCAAGTTATATTAGCACGTTCATCTTCAACAGTGGTTTTATATTGCATGGTTTTTATTTTATATTAAATAAATGCAATATTAATTTGTGGGTTCACCTTTTCCTACTGCAGTGAGAATACAAAAAATGTGCTGATTGCAGCTTCATATATACACTTGAAGCACAAAGAACATGCAAAGTATACTTCAGAGTTAACTACTGTGAACCCACGGATCTTGCTTTCTGGTCCTGCAGGTGTGTTGATATTTGGCTACCATTATGCTAAATACAAATGTTTTGTAGTCTGTACTACTTCAATTAGTGAATCTGAATTTCACATTAGGTTTTTGCCTGTGGATATCTTTTTTCAGGGTCTGAAATCTATCAGGAGATGTTGGCAAAGGCACTTGCACAACATTTTGGGGCTAAATTGCTAATATTTGATAGTCATTCACTTTTGGGTGTAAGATAAAAATTATCTGCTTGACTCTGTTATGTGGAATTAGCTCTCATTTATACTCTATTTGCCTTGCTAGGATCTATTTTAGTTAACATTATATCAGATTATCAGAAATTAAATCTTGATTGTTGAAATTAATTTTCTTCTTGAAGGTATTGCAACTTATAAGAGGAGAAATTCTGATAAGTGGCTAAATTATTTATTCATGTGTTGTAGGGTTTATCTTCTAAGGAAGCTGAGCTGCTGAAGGATGGATCAAATGCTGAAAAATCATGTGGCTGCCTTAAACAAGGTCCTATATCCACTGATTTGACTAAGAATGTGAACTTGTCTGTTAGTGAATCAGATGTACCTAGCTCTTCAGATCAACCTTCTTCACATGGTCCAGAATCTCAACCAAAGATGGAGACTGAACCGGTACCAGCTTCTGCCGGGACATCTAAGAGTCACATGTTCAAATTAGGTATGCTTGTGGACCTAAAAAAGAAAATGGATGGTATGCTCCTTAGAGTTTTGTAGAAGCTTTTTCAGTTTCCGGTGTTCTTTCACATATTGAAGTGCCGGAATTATCTTGGGTTCCATCTTTGGTGAAATTTTTTTGAAAATAAACATGCAGGTGACAGGGTAAGATACATGGGTTCAGCTTCTGGTGGCATATATCCACCGTCATCTCCTGCAAGGTGCATTATCTGCTGACAATTTCCTGGGGATACTATCGTATTTTACAAAAGAATATTTCACCTTAGTTGCTATTTTTCTTGTCAGTTTCTGTGAATCTGAGTTGATCCTGAACTATGTTGACATTTGAGTGGGTCCTGCATCTTGTGGAATAGTTGCTTTATAATTTTGCTAAGACCCTGTTTCTTATTTGTCACATCAAGTGTTTACTTTTGGTTGGATCACATAGTTTGATTTATGAAACCTCATGACCCTGGCATTCCTAGTGTGTCTGTATGGATAATTTGCTTAACGTATCACATTATTTTATTGCAAAGATGATTATCAATCATAGTAATGATGTAAAAGAATTGAGAGTTTACAAAATGAAAGAGAAAGCTTGTAGCTAAGTAAGCCTCTGGTTGAAGGAAATAGGGCCCAATAGAAAATCTAATTTCAACTTTAAGATTTATCTCTCATTCTGATGTTTATTGATGCAACTCAAATTTAACTTGGTGTCAAAGTTGATTATGCTCTTATGATTTATATGTAGGGGCCCACCTTACGGCTTTCGTGGAAAGGTTGCATTGCTATTTGAAGAAAATCCTTTGTCAAAAATTGGTGTAAAGTTTGATAAACCGGTACTTGATGGTGTTGACCTTGGTGGTTTATGTGAAGGAGGTCAAGGATTCTTCTGCAATGGTAATGTCAAACTCTGCTAGCAACATTCTCTGAGTTAGACTATGTATGTCCTGTATTTTTAAGTCTTTTGCCTCAAGTTGTGCACTCTCTTTCTCTCTATCTAGTTACTGATCTTCGTTTGGAGAACACTGGTGTGGAAGACTTGGATAAGTTACTCATCAACACACTGTTTGAGGTAGCATTTTTTTTTTCTAATAAAAAAGCCTATTTATGTGTGTGTAGCTTTGTGCTTCTATTGCATGAGCTCACAATTGCCTCATTTGATCTTGTTTATCAGGTGGTGTACAGTGAAAGCCGAAGTTCTCCGTTCATTTTGTTTATGAAAGATGCTGAGAAGTCTGTTGCAGGAAATTCAGATTCATATTCCACATTTAAAAACAGATTGGAAAAGCTACCTGATAGAGTGATTGTGATTGGTTCACACACTCATTCTGACAATCGTAAGGAGAAGGTAACGTTTTCTTGATTTACTGACCTGGCAGGATAAAGGATATACAGGTATTTTCTAAATTCATGCTCAGAATGTTTCAAATTTTGTGGGATTTATTGCAAAGCTAAACAAATTGGTGCTGCTGAAAGAGGCATGTGATCCAGATTTTCATTCCTAGTTGGGTGGACCATTTTTGGAGTAGCCTAGTTAGATGCCATTGCATTTAGTATTTGGGCATTTTTTTTTTTTTTTTAATCTTGTTACTGGTAACAATTGGTTTTTATTTTATTTGTGGGGATAAACTCCTTAAATATGTATATGCAGTATGAGTACTCATTATTTGTGGACATGATCAGAGCGAAGGCAGTAACGTGGCCATGCTAGAAAGCACAGGAAGCAAGGGTTCAGTGCAAGTAAATGGGACAATTGTGAAGAAGACTACCAGTTGTGTGCTTAAGTCAGGTGATGAGATCGTCTTTGGTTCACTGGGGAACCATGCTTATGTATCCTTTCCTGTTGTATGAGGGCCATTTGTTTACCTACTTCTTCCTGCTTGTTAGTGATAATGTAGTGCCTTTTTGGTTTTTCCCCACTCCATCTGCTGTTTTCTTTTGTGTTTAAGTGTTAATGTATCTCTTATATGGGTGAATTCCTTAATTTTTCTCAACATAGATATTTCAACACCTCTTGCCTGAGGTTGCAATTAAAGGTACAGAGGTTCAAAGTAGTGCAGGAAAGTTTTTGCAGCTTGAGAGGAGGACAGGGGATCCTTCGGCTGTGGCTGGGGCTTCCATTTTGGCATCTCTTTCCAGCCTGAGGCAAGATTTATCACGTTGGAAATCTCCACCTCCAACCACCGGTAAACTCCACCAAGGGGCTGAGTTGCCTACTCCTGTTGATCCTGATGGTACAGAGGTTGATCTTGATCGTGTGGAAGGCAATTCAGCTGTAAACGGAGAGAATGATAAAGCTGCAGACGTTGGAGCAGCTGGCAAGAATATTTCTCTTGAAGGCAACCAGGATGCTGGCATAGAGGCAGGCAATGTAAAACTCTCTGGGGTGAATGATTTGCTAAGGCCTTTCTTGGGGATGATTGCTCCATCAACTAGTTGTAATCTGAAATTGAGCAAAAGTATCTGTAAACAGGTATTGGACGAAAGAAACGAGTGGAGAAGGGATTCGCAGCCAGCATCAACGGTGGGTATGTCTCTAAGGTGTGCAGTCTTCAGAGAAGACATTCGTGCTGGAATTCTTGATGGTGCAAACTTACAGGGGTCATTTGAAAATTTCCCATACTATCTAAGGTATGATATATTTCTATTTTTCTTATAAAAAATTATATTTTATTTCTGCTATTCTATATTTGTTAAATTTGATGTTTTCAAGTTATTGTCCAAGTATTCCTATAATCTCTTGCATCTTCAACACCAGCATGTCAATTCCTGGACATATTTCCACATGTGATGACTTGCTTTGTTTTCTTGCTATTATATGTAATATTGTTGGGGCTAGTCTAGGAGCATGCACGTCATTTGGTTACAGTAGGTTTCTTCTGGTTGCTGGGTGGAGTATTTTTCAGCTGGATCAAATGTTTTATTTTGTTTCACTATGCATTCTTGTAGTTGCTGGGAGTGCTCAAGTTATATTAGCACGTTCATCTTCAACAGTGGTTTTATATTGCATGGTTTTTATTTTATATTAAATAAATGCAATATTAATTTGTGGGTTCACCTTTTCCTACTGCAGTGAGAATACAAAAAATGTGCTGATTGCAGCTTCATATATACACTTGAAGCACAAAGAACATGCAAAGTATACTTCAGAGTTAACTACTGTGAACCCACGGATCTTGCTTTCTGGTCCTGCAGGTGTGTTGATATTTGGCTACCATTATGCTAAATACAAATGTTTTGTAGTCTGTACTACTTCAATTAGTGAATCTGAATTTCACATTAGGTTTTTGCCTGTGGATATCTTTTTTCAGGGTCTGAAATCTATCAGGAGATGTTGGCAAAGGCACTTGCACAACATTTTGGGGCTAAATTGCTAATATTTGATAGTCATTCACTTTTGGGTGTAAGATAAAAATTATCTGCTTGACTCTGTTATGTGGAATTAGCTCTCATTTATACTCTATTTGCCTTGCTAGGATCTATTTTAGTTAACATTATATCAGATTATCAGAAATTAAATCTTGATTGTTGAAATTAATTTTCTTCTTGAAGGTATTGCAACTTATAAGAGGAGAAATTCTGATAAGTGGCTAAATTATTTATTCATGTGTTGTAGGGTTTATCTTCTAAGGAAGCTGAGCTGCTGAAGGATGGATCAAATGCTGAAAAATCATGTGGCTGCCTTAAACAAGGTCCTATATCCACTGATTTGACTAAGAATGTGAACTTGTCTGTTAGTGAATCAGATGTACCTAGCTCTTCAGATCAACCTTCTTCACATGGTCCAGAATCTCAACCAAAGATGGAGACTGAACCGGTACCAGCTTCTGCCGGGACATCTAAGAGTCACATGTTCAAATTAGGTATGCTTGTGGACCTAAAAAAGAAAATGGATGGTATGCTCCTTAGAGTTTTGTAGAAGCTTTTTCAGTTTCCGGTGTTCTTTCACATATTGAAGTGCCGGAATTATCTTGGGTTCCATCTTTGGTGAAATTTTTTTGAAAATAAACATGCAGGTGACAGGGTAAGATACATGGGTTCAGCTTCTGGTGGCATATATCCACCGTCATCTCCTGCAAGGTGCATTATCTGCTGACAATTTCCTGGGGATACTATCGTATTTTACAAAAGAATATTTCACCTTAGTTGCTATTTTTCTTGTCAGTTTCTGTGAATCTGAGTTGATCCTGAACTATGTTGACATTTGAGTGGGTCCTGCATCTTGTGGAATAGTTGCTTTATAATTTTGCTAAGACCCTGTTTCTTATTTGTCACATCAAGTGTTTACTTTTGGTTGGATCACATAGTTTGATTTATGAAACCTCATGACCCTGGCATTCCTAGTGTGTCTGTATGGATAATTTGCTTAACGTATCACATTATTTTATTGCAAAGATGATTATCAATCATAGTAATGATGTAAAAGAATTGAGAGTTTACAAAATGAAAGAGAAAGCTTGTAGCTAAGTAAGCCTCTGGTTGAAGGAAATAGGGCCCAATAGAAAATCTAATTTCAACTTTAAGATTTATCTCTCATTCTGATGTTTATTGATGCAACTCAAATTTAACTTGGTGTCAAAGTTGATTATGCTCTTATGATTTATATGTAGGGGCCCACCTTACGGCTTTCGTGGAAAGGTTGCATTGCTATTTGAAGAAAATCCTTTGTCAAAAATTGGTGTAAAGTTTGATAAACCGGTACTTGATGGTGTTGACCTTGGTGGTTTATGTGAAGGAGGTCAAGGATTCTTCTGCAATGGTAATGTCAAACTCTGCTAGCAACATTCTCTGAGTTAGACTATGTATGTCCTGTATTTTTAAGTCTTTTGCCTCAAGTTGTGCACTCTCTTTCTCTCTATCTAGTTACTGATCTTCGTTTGGAGAACACTGGTGTGGAAGACTTGGATAAGTTACTCATCAACACACTGTTTGAGGTAGCATTTTTTTTTTCTAATAAAAAAGCCTATTTATGTGTGTGTAGCTTTGTGCTTCTATTGCATGAGCTCACAATTGCCTCATTTGATCTTGTTTATCAGGTGGTTTACAGTGAAAGCCGAAGTTCTCCGTTCATTTTGTTTATGAAAGATGCTGAGAAGTCTGTTGCAGGAAATTCAGATTCATATTCCACATTTAAAAACAGATTGGAAAAGCTACCTGATAGAGTGATTGTGATTGGTTCACACACTCATTCTGACAATCGTAAGGAGAAGGTAACGTTTTCTTGATTTACTGGGTTATGGTGAAGACCTTATGAAGTATCATGACTTAAGCATCTGACTCAGTTTCATGTGTTCCTGAAAGTCTTGATAGAAACAATAAAGAAGTAAAAACTTTGACAGAATTTCAGTGATGTCAGAGAACTTTTTACTTTAATGCATGGATTTTTCTGCATGTGTCAAATTTCAACCTTTATACTTATATGTGTTCATATACATTAACATTTTGGAGAAAGTATTATTAAGAGTTAACGTGATGACTCAATATGGTACTGATTTTATGGAAACTTATGTTGTTGTTACAAGATTTCTTGGAAACTTATTCATAAGTCTCAGAACGATTACATCACTGGACTGTTAAGCAGAATTCAAACATGCTTCTTGTTTATTCTAAGAATGCTACTTATGTGAGGCTAATCGAACTGTAATTTACTGGAAAGCTAGTATTAATCAACAACTAGCAATTCTATTTCAACTTACTTGGTGCATTGGTCCCAACACCTGTCTCATTTAAACATACAAGACACCAACATTTGAGTAGAAAGGAGAGCTTAACATTATTTCTGAATTGATGTAAAGGAGAAGTTATTGATGTTATCTTAATCTCCTGTAGTAAGGGAAGCCTCGGGAAATTGAGTCTCTTTGTTGCAGTGAAACATTTAAATTGTAGCTTCATATGAGACTTATGGCTTTGCCTTTCATACCGCTAAATAATGTGTGGGTACACTAATCTAGCATTTTTCTCTTGCAGTCACATCCTGGTGGCCTACTTTTCACAAAATTTGGCAGCAATCAAACTGCTCTGCTTGACTTGGCTTTTCCAGTAAGTTATAACTTTTCAATGATGTTGTTTGTTTTATTCTATTTATTCATTGCTTATTTTGTTTATCTTCTTTTAAGTTTGTGAGTAATAATGAGTGAGGATTAGGGGCATAGCCAGAAAATTTTCTAATGTAGGCTAAACTTTTGTTTTTTGAACTCTTATTTAATTAGAATTTTTTAAAGTAAACCTTAATGGTATAAGAGAATTTTATTAATAGCAACAAAAAAAGAAAAAGAAAAAGAAAAAGAAAAAAAAGATGTACACCTAAAATGAGGGAGACATAATGAACCTAATTTCTCAAAATATATATTAGAAATATAACGTAAAGAAGATGATACTAAATCAAGAAATGCACATTCATTCTCTCTTGCGGATGTTCTGAAGCTTTTAATGTGTTGACCAAGTGCCAGTGATTAGTTCTGGTTTAAAAAATGCAAAAAAGGAAGTCACTAAAAAATTCAGGAAGTTTCTTAGTTCACCAGTTAAAGTTAGCTCTTTAATACACGTACAATGTATTAAATTAAATTTAAATATAGAAGTTATCAATTAAAAAAACAAAAATTCTAATAGTTAAAAAGTATTTGACATAAAAAATAAATGAATGTCCATGTCAATTGAACGATTGATTATATTTTTTTTATAGTTTAAAGATTGATTTTTGTTTTTAATTTAAGTTTGTTATAATGTATGTATACTTTTTGTTCTGGCCCTCTCTATCCTCCACCACTGGTCGGGATTGTTCCTTTCATGGAAGTAAAATTGTTAGCTATTCCATAGCATTGAGTGTTCAAATTCCATTTTTTTCCCTTGACACGCTTTGTGTAATTGTGCCTCAAAGAAGGACACAGCATGATATCTTAGTTTTTCATGCATAGATCTTGGTGGAGAAATTTTGGCAAATCTAGTGCTGTTCTTTATGCTCTTTTAGTTCTTTGATATATGATGTTTCCTCCAGCTTCTTTGTCTTTTCCTCCTGCATTGTCTGTATACAAGACTAATTGCTTCACTGTTAATTGCTTTTATCTTGATATTTGGTCTTCGCTAGATACAGTATTAGCTATTCTTGCTTTATTATTCTTTCATTCATGGCATGTAATCCAGTGATGCATGGTAAGCTATAGTATTAGCTATCTTGCTTTATTGTTCTTTCATTCATGCACGTAACACAGTGATGCAATGTATCAAGTTTAGTAATGGATAATTGGAACTGGAGCAAGAGATAGAATATGGATATTGTCGTTTCTGGGTCTGGAAATGAATTACATTTCTGTTCAGAATTGTGTTGTTTCAGTTAAGATATTGTCTTTTTCTTATTCTTCAAATCTGTCAAGAAAAAAAAGGATGGATCGTTTGCAGGGATGGCAATTTGGAACCACTCTGGACAGGCTGAGTCGGGGGCGAGATAAATGCAATTATGATTCAACCTAGATTCATGACTGTGATGGGTTTAGCTTCTCCCATCCTGTCTTGCCTCAGATACTAAGTTGCCTTTGGTAGTTAAATCAGAGATCATGATTTTCTCTACCATTTTTCTACTCTGCTTGTCCTTAACTGAATTTGATGTCTGTCTTCTCTCATTTGTCTTATCTTGTCTCTCATCTCATTTCTACTATAGTTATCAGGATTTAGTCTTCTTCTCTCCATGTTATCAGATTCTCACTTATTATCCTGGCTACCTTACTGCATTTGTTGTCTATGCCACGTTTTGGGTTAGGCTTAGTGGTGAATGCCTTTGCTTTTGACCAGAGGTCAATGGTTTTTGGGCCACCTATTATAGTCCTCAAATTTATTGGCTACCAAGGTTATTGTAGTGTTTGAATGGAGCACTGATAGGCCTCCTATAACTAAGCTGCAACAAGAAAGGGGAAGGGCAGCCTGGGAAATTCAGTTAGAATGGCTAGGGAAATTCAGATTAGAGTTAGTTAGTGTGGTGCTCTGTTGGGTGAGTTCATAAGAGAAGGAGGGGGGCGGGGGCGCGGGGGGCGGCGGGAGATGAGTCTGGTTATGGCACAAATCGTAGATTATTTTGAGGCCACTAGCCCCTTGAAGTGCTAGTCACCCCTTTTATTTTCTGTCATTGTTATTCACTGTATCCAGTTTGTTTGGCCATTATTTTCATTTCAATATATCAGTATAATTTTCCATTTACTTAGTTGTGCTGAGTGTTAACAATAGCATTTTTATTGAGCATTGCGGTTGTGTTTTATCAAGCACCCATTTAGAACTCTCTCTACATATAGAGAGAATGTTATATATAGTATGTTCAATAGCCCCAAATTCCTTATCCTCTGTATTTATGTGGGGTTTAATTTCATCTGCCCCCTTGGAGAGATCGCTAAGTCTCAAGCTCCTTCATGATTTTGGAAAATATTAAATATTCCTTGAAAACACCAAAAACCCTATTGAAATTTGAATTCTATAAAATCCCTGCAAATATTTAAAAAAATATCCCAAAATAGGGGTCATTTAATAGCGTTTGAAAATCTCTGGGACGCTTAGACGTTGATCTCTTAGGAGTGGATGAAATTAGCCCATTCATGCAGTGTTATTATTTTTCTTGTTAATAATATTTTTAAACTTTGTCTGGTCGTATGGAAAACAAAGTCAAATAGGGAGATTGCGTCTGAATATCTCTTTTCTATCCATATGATCACCCCGCCCCAAGCCCTCCTGGTTGCCGTTCCCTTTTTTTTTTTTCGTTTTTCTGTTTTTGGTTATGCATACAATGCCTTACCTAAAAGCTATCTTTTCTTCTTGTTCTTCCTTTTTTTTTTTTTTTTTTTTTTTTTTTTTGGGTACAAATATGATAGAGTATTTTGGGCTGCCAAATGAAAATTGTGAGACTGTAATGTCACGTTGTTAATGTCTAGAGCATGATGTTGCTGTTGTTTTATATGTTTTCAGGATAGTTTTGGAAGATTGCATGAAGAGGAAGGAAGTCCCAAAGACACAAAACTTCTAACTAAGCTTTTCCCAAATAAAGTAACCATTCACATGCCACAGGTCGGTATATTAGTTCCTGTTTATAAGCTCCATTGTTTTGTTTTTCTTGCTCTAATGGGGTTTCTACAGCCATTGCCTAAATTAATTATTTATTTTTTATTACAACATTTTATGAAAGCTTACAAACTGTTGCAGGATGAGGCCCTCCTAGTGTCTTGGAAGCATCATTTGGACCGTGATTCCGAAACACTAAAAATGAAGGGAAACCTCAATCATCTGCGCACTGTGAGTAATTCTTGCTGCACTGGATCTATGGGCCATAACACTGTAGAGAATGATTGTGCTTATATTTTTCTTCACTGAGATGTATGCTCCTGGCTGTTCTTGTGTGTAATGTCGAGGCATGCTTTCTGACTGTGTAGTGTGGTACTTTTATGTCTGAGGTGGAGTGTACATTGAATTGTGCTTCGTCTTGCGAGAATTGATAATTTTCGTATGTAGGTTCTTAGTCGGAGTGGGATGGAATGTGAAGGACTTGAGACCTTGTGCTCAAGGACCAATCACTCACAAATGAAAGTTATGGTCAATTTTGATGTCTTCAGATTAAGAATTATTGTATGAACTTCCTTTTTCTTCTTTTTAGCTGTCAAATTTACAATGTGGTAATACAGTGCAGAAAGGTGGTTGGATGGGCTTTAAGCCACCATCTAATGCGAACCTGAAGCGGATCCTGATGCAAGACTTGTGTTATCGTGTGAGAGGTAACTGATATCTCATCTTCTAAAATCTATATCACCAATTGTCAGCTGAATTATTGGTTTTCGGATGGAAATTACACAGTTGTAATGCAATGTTGCAATTCTGGCAGCATCCAGTATGGGATTGAATCCTACATGCTATCCAGAATGAATCTAGAGCTTGAAGAAGTCACTTAAGGTGATTGCTGTATTTCTCAAGAGTTGATAATCTAACAAGCTTTAAAGTTGCAGATTATTTTTTTTTTTAATTTTTTTTAAAACAAAGCTTTGCTCTCCTGGATACCTTACCTGGAAGGATCGGCCTTTTAATCTTCATAGTGATTGTTTTGGACAATGACAGGATGTTGTAACGGAAATGAATTTGAGAAAAGGCTTTTATCTGATGTAATTCCGCCTAGTGACATTGGAGTTACATTTGAAGATATTGGAGCTCTTGAGAATGTCAAGCATTGAAGGTTGGTGATGCGGTCCTTTACAAAGGCCGGAATTATTCTGCAAGGGGCAATTGACTAAGGTTCTAACATTTTCTTGTATTGAGATAAAATGAGCTCTTCATTGAAGTAATGTTTGTCTGACGTTATGTTGATGTAGTTATGTGCTTTTATATTTGATGGTGATGATGTCTGTATTCTTTCACTGGCCTTGATGTCCTCTCAAGAGATTCTATTTCCGGAACTCTTTGTAGTATTTTTTCCAACTATATTGTTCGTAATATGATTTGAAGCATTATGGAACAGTTCAAATTTGAGCTACACCTTACAATCTTACTCTGGATTCCTCAGGAAAAAGCCATTAACCTCAATTAGGTTGCTGATAATTTTGCTCGTTTTGTTGATTCCATTCCATAACTGAAGTTAGGCTTCCCAATTGCCTCTATATTTACCAAGAACCTGTGACATTAGAATTTTCAATTCCCATAGATTTTTGCACAAGAAAGTGTTTTGGCTTTTTTTTTTTTTTTTTGGATCAATTGGCAGTAGTGATCTACATATTGGGGTGATTTTCTGCTGTCCCGTAGATGCTCCTTTTACAAGTAGAACTACCGTCTTGAATAGTCGGTGATACACAAAATAAATGCAATTGATATATGTTTGGACATAGCTCTTAAGAGACAGCATATCAATTTCAAATCTTTATGTTCACATATTTATTTTTGTAGTTTCTATAATTTGTGGACAATATATGACCATCCTCAAAAGTTTTAAGCAAGTCTAGTAGCATTTAAACTTGTAAACCTGACAAGGTCTTTTATCTTAAATATATGATTTTTATGTCTATTACGTTATATAATTTAATATCATCCTTTGAATGCAGTTGTATTTTTTTATTTATTTGATAATGTACTTGTATCGATCCCTACTTCAATTCTTCTTGTGTGCAGCCTTGTAAGGGCATACTTCTGTTTGGACCTCCCGGAACTGGGAAGACCATGCTTGCAAAGGCTGTTGCAACTGAAGCTGGTGCAAACTTCATTAACATCTCGATGTCAAGCATCACATCAAAGGTCAAGTTCGTTGGAAGCTTCAAAAACTAATCCAATTTTGTATGAATATTTATTTGATAAATTTGAACTCATGTATTTGTCTTATTGCAGTGGTTTGGTGAGGGTGAGAAGTATGTGAAAGCAGTTTTCTCTCTAGCAAGTAAAATTGCTCCTAGTGTCGTATTTGTTGATGAGGTTAGCTTCTTATTGCACTTCTTTCATATTTTGAATTTGGTTTTGTATAATATACTAGGTCACTACCTTTTTCTTCCTCCCTGTCTTACCATTTTACATCTTTTAGGTTGACAGCATGTTGGGCCGAAGAGAAAATCCAGGAGAGCATGAGGCCATGCGTAAGATGAAAAATGAATTTATGGTGAACTGGGATGGCTTACGGACAAAAGATACAGAAAGAGTTCTGGTGCTTGCAGCCACGAATAGGCCTTTTGACCTTGATGAGGCTGTTATTAGAAGGCTTCCACGCAGGTAGATTAAAATCACTTATGAAAGGCTTATTGGACAGCTGTAGATAGACATTTGCGAAGAAAATGCTCTGATATTGCTTCCTAGCTTACTTTAACTTATGTTTAGGTGCCTGAGGTTTAGGCTAAATAAACTTTAGTTCACTAAAATCAGAAAGTAACACTTCAGTCTCTATTAGACTATCAGTTAACTCTGCTGGCTTCCAGTAATATGAAACGAAGTGTTACTTTTGTTCTACTGGGCCAAAGTGTTATTTATCCTGAACCTCAAGGACCTAAATTAATTATCCCCTTCAATTTAACGCTGATAAACTTGATTTGACTGTTCTAATGATGTGTTTTCTTGGCCAGATTGATGGTAAATTTACCAGATGCTCCAAACAGAGCAAAGATATTAAAAGTTATACTGGCAAAAGAGGATTTGTCTCCTGATGTTGATTTTGATGCAGTTGCAAGCATGACAGATGGGTACTCTGGAAGTGACCTTAAGGTAGTATTTGCTACTCTTTCTTTGATATGTGATTATATTCCCATGTTGAGTTTGTGTAGTGACTCTCTTTATGTCTAATTGATTGTATTGCAGAATCTCTGTGTAACTGCTGCTCACCGCCCAATAAAAGAGATATTGGAAAAGGAAAAAAAGGTATATTTCTTTGATTTGATGAATGAGCATTTACTATAAGGCTCCAAGAATTAAGAAAATGTAAAAGTAGGGGCTGAAATCCAATGATTGTGTTCTCTGATCCACGATGTGTGTGTATCTGAAGGCTTTTTGAAGGGGAAAAAAAGGAATAGACAGTAGTTAGATGAAAGTATATTCTATTATATTTTCATTTTAGATGCATTTTTATGAGAATCTAATATGTTCGACTGATTACAGGAACGTGCTGCTGCATTAGCAGAAGGTAAACCTGCTCCAGCTTTGAGTGGGAGTGCTGATATACGGCCTCTAAACATGAACGACTTTAAATATGCTCACGAGCGGGTAAAGTGAAAATCAGAATTCAACTATATTTCTTTGTGTTGTTCATTTCATTGTTATAACATATTGTTGATCAAAATAGGTATGCGCAAGTGTTTCATCAGAGTCAGTAAACATGACGGAGCTTTTACAATGGAATGAATTGTATGGTGAAGGGGGTTCAAGAAGAAAGAAGGCTCTGAGCTATTTCATGTGAAGAAGATGTGTGTACAAATTGGTTATTTTCTTTTAATTATCAGCTGTGCCCAAGTAATTTTGCCAGATTCTTACGGGGGTGCCATTTTGTGTAACATGAAGTATTATAGCTTTTAAAGTTTCAGTTAATTAAAATTATGAGAGCTTGGAATGTTTTGTTGTAAAGGATGTGATGGTCAGGCCTTCTGAAGTTTTGATGGCTGCAGCTGCACTACTTTTGTTTACATGAAGACTGAAGAGCATGTTCTATGTAAGTTGTCAATCAACATTAACATTACTCAGAATTGAGAAAAAAACCCTGTAGATACATTTATTGTAATTACTTTCTGGTGATTGTAGTATCTGACACTTAACATTAAACTGTTAATTATAATTAAATTACACTTCCATGAAAATTCTTAAAAACATCTATGGTAATCACAAAACCAATGTTTAATAACCAACCTAGGGTGAAACCAAACAAAGTTGTTGGGTCTTAGGTTGATTGGTTTAACCGGTTTGACTGATTGGTCAAATTGGGTGTCAAAAAGTTTAAAATTCAGCAAATACACTCTTGAAAATTACAGTTAAGTTTCTATAGGTTTGAAATTTAGTACACCTCAATTACAAATTGATATTTTATAGTTGATTGTTTGGCGGCGGTAACACACCAAATGCAATCTCAATCATCCCTTGAGTCAATTCCCTATAAAATTTACTCAAGATCTCACCACTACCAGTGTCGACCAATTTCGGTCGGATCTCACCATCACTAGCGTTGATAACACCTCTGTCACCACGAAAATACTTCATTTAGTCTCTTGACTAAAACCCATCTCACCCCACTCGTATTTACCTTGCCAATTGTCGACAAAAGTTGACTATTGTCATCAGTTTTTTTTTTTTTTCGATTTCCGGTCGGTTAACTCATCGGAAATCACTTTTGTTGCATCATTGCACTCACTAGCACTTCTTTTTGAAAAGCCCTCACATCCCAACCTTCAATTGTTTGCTAATCAACATCCAAAATTCTAGGGTTTTGGGTAAAAAAGAAAATTGTTAACCTGGCCCGGTGAAGGTCCTGGTTGAACACAACACAAAACCAGGCTATAAAAGGGATGAGTTTCTGGGTATAAATTATTATTTCATAATATGGAAAAAAAAACTTTATCTATATTTATCATTATTTGACATAATAATTGTTATTTCTGATAATAAATTAAATTAAGAATTCAAGATATTAATTAAAATATTTATGAGACTGTATAATTTATTTAAGATTATATCAAAATTAAAACTAATACTTTTAGTATTTTGATAGTATATTATTTATAATATTAATATTAATTGTCTCCTGCCAAAAATATTTAAAAAAAATATCCCAAAATAGGGGTACATTTAATAGCGTTTGAAAATCTCTGGGACCTTAGACGTTGATCTCTTAGGGAGGATGAAATTAGCCCATTCATGCAGTGTTATTATTTTCTTGTTAATTATATTTTTAACTTTGTCTGGTCGTATAAACAAAGTCAATAAGGGAATTGCGTCTGAATATCTCTTTTCTATCCATATGATCACCCCGCCCCAAGCCCTCCTGGTTGCCGTTCCCTTTTTTTTTTTCGTTTTTCTGTTTTTGGTTAGGCATACAATGCCTTACCTAAAAGCTATCTTTTCTTCTTGTCTTCTTCCTTTTTTTTTTTTTTTTTTTTTTTTTTTTTGGTACAAATTGATAGAGTATTTTGTGGCTGCCAATAAAATTGTGAGACTGTAATGTCACGTTGTTAATGTCTAGAGCATGATGTTGCTGTTGTTTTATATGTTTTCAGGATAGTTTTGGAAGATTGCATGAGAGAGGGAAGGAAGTCCCAAAGCACAAAACTTCTACCTAAGCTTTTCCCAAATAAAGTAACCATTCACATGCCACAGGTCGGTATATTAGTTCCTGTTTATAAGCTCCATTGTTTTGTTTTCTTGCTCTAATGGGTTTCTACAGCCATTGCCTAAATTAATTAATTTATTTTTTATTACAACATTTTATGAAAGCTTACAAACTGTTGCAGGATGAGGCCCTCCTAGTGTCTTGGAAGCATCAGTTGGACCGTGTTCCGAAACACTAAAAATGAGGGAAACCTCAATCATCTGCGCACTGTGAGTAATTCTTGCTGCCACTGACTATGGGCCATAAACACTGTAGAGAAGGATTGTGCTTATATTTTTCTTCACGAATGTAGTCATCTGGCTGTTCTTGTGTGTAATTCGAGGCATGCTTTCTGACTGTGTAGTGTGGTACTTTTATGTCTGAGGTGAGTGTACATTGAATTGTGCTTCGTCTTGCGAGAATTGTAATTTTCGTATGTAGTTCTTAGTCGGAGTGGGATGAATGTGAAGGACTTGAGACCTTGTGCACAAGGACCAATCACTCACAAATGAAAGTATGGTCAATTTTGATGTCTTCAGATTAAGAATTATGTATGAACTTCCTTTTTCTTCTTTTTAGCTGTCAATTTACAATGTGGTAAACAGGTGCAGAAAAGGTGGTTGGATGGGCTTTAAGCCACCATCTAATGCAGAACCCTGAAGCGGATCCTGATGCAAGACTTGTGTTATCGTGTGAAGTAACTGATATCTCATCTTCTAAATCTATATCACCATTGTCAGCTGAATTATTGGTTTTCGGATGGAAATTACACAGTTTAATGCAATGTTGCAATTCTGGCAGCATCCAGTATGGATTGAAATCCTACATGCTATCCAGATGAATCTAAGAGCTTGAAGTCACTTAAGGTGATTGCTGTATTTCTCAAGATGTTGATAATCTAACAAGCTTTAAGTTGCGATTATTTTTTTTTTTTTAATTTTTTTTAAAACAAGCTTGCTCTCCTGGATACCTTACCTGGAAGGATCGGCCTTTTAATCTTCATAGTGATTGTTTTGGACAATGACAGGATGTTGTAACGGAAAATGAATTTGAGAAAAGGCTTTATATCTGATGTAATTCCGCCTAGTGACATTGGTTACATTTGAAGATATTGGCTCTTGAGAATGTCAAGGATACATTGAAGGAGTTGTGATGCTTCCTTTACAAAGGCCGAATTATCTGCAAGGGGCATTGACTAAGGTTCTAACATTTTCTTGTATTGAGATAAAATGAGCTCTTCATTGATAATTTTTGTCTGACGTTATGTTGATGTAGTTATGTGCTTTTATATTTGATGGTGATGATGTCTGTATTCTTTCACTGGCCTTGATGTCCTCTCAAGAGATTCTATTTCCGGAACTCTTTGTAGATTTTTTTCCAACTATATTGTTCGTAATATGATTTGAAGCATTATGGAACAGTTCAAATTTGAGCTACACCTTACATCTTACCTGGATTCCTCAGGAAAAAGCATTAACCTCAATTAGGTTGCTGATAATTTGCTCGTTTTGTTTTCCATTCATAACTGAAGTTAGGCTCCCAATTGCCTCTATATTTACCAAGAACCTGTGACATTAGAATTTTCAATTCCCATAGATTTTTGCACAAGAAAGTGTTTTGGCTTTTTTTTTTTTTTTTGGATCAATTGGCGTAGTGACTCCTATTGGGGTTATTTTCGCTGTCCCGTAGATGCTCCTTTTACAAGTAGAACTACCGTCTTGAATAGTCGGTGATACACAAAATAAATGCAATTGATATATGTTTGGACATAGCTCTAAGAGTCAGCATATCAATTTCAAATCTTTATGTTCACATATTTATTTTTGTAGTTTCTATATTTTGTGACAATATTGACCATCCTCAAAAGTTTTAAGCAAGTCTAGTAGCATTTAAACTTGTAAACCTGACAAGGTCTTTTCTTAATATATGATTTTTAGTCTATTACGTTATATAATTAATATCATCCTTTGAATGCAGTTGTATTTTTTTTTTATTTGATAAGTACTTGTATCGATCCTCCTTCAATTCTTCTTGTGTGCAGCCTTGTAAGGCTACTTCTGTTTGGACCTCCCGGAACTGGGAAGACCATGCTTGCAAGGCTGTTGCACACTGACTGGTGCAAACTTCATTAACATCTCGATGTCAAGCATCACATCGAAGGTCAAGTTCGTTGGAAGCTTCAAAACTAATCCAATTTTGTATGAATATTTATTTGATAAATTTGAACTCATGTATTTGTCTTATTGCAGTGGTTTGGTGAGGGTGAGAGTATGTGAAAGCAGTTTTCTCTCTAGCAGTAAAATTGCTCCTAGTGTCGTATTTGTTGATGAGGTTAGCTTCTTATAGCACTCTTTTTCGTATTTTGAATTTGGTTTTGTATAATACTAGCTCACTACCTTTTTTCTCCTCCCTGTCTTACCATTTTACATCTTTTAGGTTGACAGCATGTTGGGCCGAAGAGAAAATCCAGGAGAGCATGAGGCCATGGCTAAGATGAAAATGAATTTATGGGTGAACTGGGATGGCTTACGGAACAAGATACAGAAGATTTTCTGGTGCTTGCAGCCACGAATGGCCTTTTGACCTGTGATGCTGTTATTAGAAGGCTTCCACGCAGGTAATTAAAGTCTATTTATTCATTGCTTATTTTGTTTATCTTCTTTTAAGTTTGTGAGTAATAATGAGTGAGGATTAGGGGCATAGCCAGAAAATTTTCTAATGTAGGCTAAACTTTTGTTTTTTGAACTCTTATTTAATTAGAATTTTTTAAAGTAAACCTTAATGGTATAAGAGAATTTTATTAATAGCAACAAAAAAAGAAAAAGAAAAAGAAAAAGAAAAAAAAGATGTACACCTAAAATGAGGGAGACATAATGAACCTAATTTCTCAAAATATATATTAGAAATATAACGTAAAGAAGATGATACTAAATCAAGAAATGCACATTCATTCTCTCTTGCGGATGTTCTGAAGCTTTTAATGTGTGGACCAAGTGCCAATGATTAGTTTCTGGTTTAAGAAAATGCAAAAAAGGAAGTCACTAAAAAATTCAAGAAGTTTCTAATAGTTACCAATTAAAAGTTAAGCTCTTTAATACACATACAATGTATTAAATTAAATTTAAATATAGAAGTTATCAATTAAAAAACAAAAAATTCTAATAGTTAAAAAGTATTTGACATAAAAAATAAATAAGAATGTCCATGTCAATTAGAACGATTGATTATATTTTTTTATAGTTTAAAGATTGATTTTTGTTTTTAATTTAAGTTTGTTATAATGTATGTATACTTTTTGTTCTGGCCCTCTCTATCCTCCACCACTGGTCGGGATTGTTCCTTTCATGGAAGTAAGAATTGTTAGCTATTCCATAGCATATGAGTGTTCAAAATTCCATTTTTTTCCCTTGACACGCTTTTGTGTAATATGTGCCTCAAAGAAGGAACAGCAGCATGATTATCTTAAGTTTTTCATGCATAGATCTTGGTGGAGAAAATTTTGGCAAATCTAATGCTGTTCTTTATGCTCTTGTAGTTCTTTGATATATGATTGTTCCTCCAGCTTTCTTTGTCTTTTCCTCCTGCATTGTCTGTATACAAGACTAATTGCTTCACTGTTAATTGCTTTTATCTTGATATTTGGTCTTCGCTAGATACAGTATTAGCTATTCTTGCTTTATTATTCTTTCATTCATGGCATGTAATCCAGTGATGCAGTGGTAAGCTATAGTATTAGCTATTCTTGCTTTATTGTTCTTTCATTCATGGCACGTAACACAGTGATGCAATGTTATCAAGTTTAGTAATGGATAATTGGAACTGGAGCAAGAGATAGAATATGGATATTGTCGTTTTTGGGTCTGGAAATGAATTACATTTCTGTTCAGAATTTGTTGTTTCAGTTGAAGATATTGTCTTTTCTTATTCTTTAAATCTGTCAAGAAAAAAAAGGATGGATCGTTTGCAGGGATGGCAATTTGGAACCACTCTGGACAGGCTGAGTCGGATGGGGCAGGGAGATAAATGCAATTATGATTCAACCTAGATTCATGACTGTGATGGGTTTAGCTTCTCCCATCCTGTCTTGCCTCAGATACTAAGTTGCCTTTGGTAGTTAAATCAGAGATCATGATTTTCTCTACCATTTTTCTACTCTGCTTGTCCTTTAACTGAATTTGATGTCTGTCTTCTCTCATTTGTCTTATCTTGTCTCTCATCTCTCAATTTCTACTACGGTTATCAAGGATTTAGTCTTCTTCTCTCCATGTTATCAAGATTCTCACTTATTGTCCTGGCTACCTTGCTGCATTTGTTGTCTATGCCACTGTTTGGGTACCAGTAAAGCTGATGTTCACAAACCCCAAGGGTTGGGCTTAGTGGTGAATGCCTTTGCTTTTGACCAAGAGGTCAATGGTTTTTGGGCCACCTATTATAGTCCTCAAATTTATTGGCTACCAAGGTTATTGTAGTGTTTGAATGGAGCACTGATAGGCCTCCTATAACTAAGCTGTACAACAAGAAGAAGGGAAAGGGCAGCCTGGGAAATTCAGTTAGAATGGGCAGTAAGGGAAATTCAGATTAGAGTTAGTTAGTGTGGAATCTCTGTTGAGAATGTGATTTCATAAGAGAAGGAGGGGGGGCGGGGGCGCGGGGGCGGCGGGAGAATAGCTGGTTAATGGCATCATGAAATCTAGAATTATTGTTGGAGGCCACTAGCCCCTTGAAGTGCTAGTCACCCCTTTTATTTTTCTGTCATTGTTATTCACTGTATCCAGTTTGTTTGGCCATTATTTTCATTTCAATATATCAGTATAATTTTCCAGTTACTTAGTTGTGCTGAGTGTTAACAAATAGCATTTTTATTGAGCATTGCGGTTGTGTTTTTATCAAGCACCCAGTTTAGAACTCTCTCTACATATAGAGAGAATGTTGAATATATATATAGATGTTCAATAGCCCCAAATTCCTTATCCTCTGTATTTATGTGGGGTTTAATTTCATCTGCCCCCTTGGAGAGATCGCTAAGTCTCAAGCTCCTTCATGATTTTGGAAAATATTAAATATTCCTTGAAAACACCAAAAACCCTATTGAAATTTGAAAATGTCTATAAAATCCCTGCAAATATTTAAAAAAAATATCCCAAAATAGGGGTACATTTAATAGCGTTTGAAAATCTCTGGGACGCTTAAGACGTTGATCTCTTAGGGAGTGGATGAAATTAGCCCATTCATGCAGTGTTATTATTTTCTTGTTAATTAATATTTTTAAACTTTGTCTGGTCGTATGGAAAACAAAGTCAAATAAGGGAGATGGCGTCTGAATATCTCTTTTCTATCCATATGATCACCCCGCCCCAAGCCCTCCTGGTTGCCGTTCCCTTTTTTTTTCGTTTTTCTGTTTTTGGTTATGCATACAATGCCTTACTTAAAAGCTATCTTTTCTTCTTGTTCTTTCTTTTTTTTTTTTTTTTTGGGTACAAATATGATAGAGTATTTTGTGGCTGCCAAATGAAAATTGTGAGACTGTAATGTCACGTTGTTAATGTCTAGAGCATGATGTTGCTATTGTTTGATATGTTTTCAGGATAGTTTTGGAAGATTGCATGACAGAGGGAAGGAAGTCCCAAAGGCAACAAAACTTCTAACTAAGCTTTTCCCAAATAAAGTAACCATTCACATGCCACAGGTCGGTATATTAGTTCCTGTTTATAAGCTCCATTGTTTTGTTTTCTTGCTCTAATGGGGTTTCTACAGCCATTGCCTGAATTAGTTTATTTATTTTTTATTACAACATTTTATGAAAGCTTACAAACTGTTGCAGGATGAGGCCCTTCTAGTGTCTTGGAAGCATCAGTTGGACCGTGATTCCGAAACACTAAAAATGAAGGGAAACCTCAATCATCTGCGCACTGTGAGTAATTCTTGCTGCACTGCATCTATGGGCCATAAACACTGTAGAGAATGATTGTGCTTATATTTTTTCTTCACTGAGATATATGCATCTGGCTGTTCTTGTGTGTAATGTCGAGGCATGCTTTCTGACTGTGTAGTGTGGTATTTTTATGTCTGAGGTGGAGTGTACATTGAATTGTGCTTCGTCTTGCGAGAATTGATAATTTTCGTATGTAGGTTCTTAGTCGGAGTGGGATGGAATGTGAAGGATTTGAGACCTTGTGCATCAAGGACCAATCACTCACAAATGAAAGTATGGTCAATTTTGATGTCTTCAGATTAAGAATTATTGTATGAACTTCCTTTTTCTTCTTTTTACCTGTCAAATTTACAATGTGGTAATACAGGTGCAGAAAAGGTGGTTGGATGGGCTTTAAGCCACCATCTAATGCAGAACCCTGAAGCGGATCCTGATGCAAGACTTGTGTTATCGTGTGAGAGGTAACTGATATCTCATCTTCTAAAATCTATATCACCAATTGTCAGCTGAATTATTGGTTTTCGGATGGAAATTACACAGTTGTAATGCAATGTTGCAATTCTGGCAGCATCCAGTATGGGATTGAAATCCTACATGCTATCCAGAATGAATCTAAGAGCTTGAAGAAGTCACTTAAGGTGATTGCTGTATTTCTCAAGAGTTGATAATCTAACAAGCTTTAAAGTTGCAGATTATTTTTTTTTTTAATTTTTTTTTAAAACAAAGCTTTGCTCTCCTGGATACCTTACCTGGAAGGATCGGCCTTTTAATCTTCATAGTGATTGTTTTGGACAATGACAGGATGTTGTAACGGAAAATGAATTTGAGAAAAGGCTTTTATCTGATGTAATTCCGCCTAGTGACATTGGAGTTACATTTGAAGATATTGGAGCTCTTGAGAATGTCAAGGATACATTGAAGGAGTTGGTGATGCTTCCTTTACAAAGGCCGGAATTATTCTGCAAGGGGCAATTGACTAAGGTTCTAACATTTTCTTGTATTGAGATAAAATGAGCTCTTCATTTAAGTAATGTTTATCTGACGTTATGTTGATGTAGTTATGTGCTTTTATATTTGATGGTGATGATGTCTGTATTCTTTCACTGGCCTTGATGTCCTCTCAAGAGATTCTATTTCCGGAACTCTTTGTAGTATTTTTTCCAACTATATTGTTTGTAATATGATTTGAAGCATTATGGAACAGTTCAAATTTGAGCTACACCTTACAATCTTACTCTGGATTCCTCAGGAAAAAGCCATTAATCTCAATTAGGTTGCTGATAATTTTGCTCGTTTTGTTGATTCCATTCCATAACTGAAGTTAGGCTTCCCAATTGGCTCTATATTTACCAAGAACCTGTGACATTAGAATTTTCAATTCCCATAGATTTTTGCACAAGAAAGTGTTTTGGCTTTTTTTTTTTTTTTTTGGATCAATTGGCAGTAGTGATCTACATATTGGGGTGATTTTCTCCTACCCCGTAGATGCTCCTTTTACAAGTAGAACTACTGTCTTGAATAGTCGGTGATACACAAAGTAAATACAATTGATATATATTTGGACATAGCTCTTAAGAGACAGCATATCAATTTCAAATCTTCATGTTCACATATTTCTTTTTGTAGTTTCTATAATTTGTGGACAATATATGACCATCCTCAAAAGTTTTAAGCAAGTCTAGTAGCATTTAAACTTGTAAACCTTACAAGGTCTTTTATCTTAAATATATGATTTTTGTGTCTATTACGTTATATAATTCAATATCATCCTTTGAATGCAGTTGTATTTTTTTATTTATTTGATAATGTACTTGTATCGATCCCTACTTAAATTCTTCTTGTGTGCAGCCTTGTAAGGGCATACTTCTGTTTGGACCTCCCGGAACTGGGAAGACCATGCTTGCAAAGGCTGTTGCAACTGAAGCTGGTGCAAACTTCATTAACATCTCGATGTCAAGCATCACATCAAAGGTCAAGTTCGTTGGAAGCTTCAAAAACTAATCCAATTTTGTATGAATATTTATTTGATAAATTTGAACTCATGTATTTGTCTTATTGCAGTGGTTTGGTGAGGGTGAGAAGTATGTGCAAGCATTTTCTCTCTCGCAGTAAAATTGCTCCTAGTGTCGTATTTGTTGATGAGGTTAGCTTCTTATTCACTTCTTTCTATTTTGAATGGTTTTGTATAATATACTAGCTCACACCTTTTTCTTCCTCCCTGTCTTACCATTTTACATCTTTTAGGTTGACAGCATGTTGGGCCGAAGAGAAAATCCAGGAGAGCATGAGGCCATGCGTAAGATGAAAAATGAATTTATGGTGAACTGGGATGGCTTCGGACAAAAGATACAGAAAGAGTTCTGTGCTTGCAGCCACGAATAGGCCTTTTGACCTTGATGAGGCTGTTATTAGAAGGCTTCCACGCGGTAGATAAAATCACTTATGAAAGGCTTATTGGACACTGTAGATAGACATTTGCGAAGAAATGCTCTGATATTGCTTCCTAGCTACTTTAACTTATGTTTAGGGCCTGAGGTTTAGGCTAAATAAACTTTAGTTCACTAAATCAGAAAGTAACACTTCAGTCTCTATTAGACTATCAGTTAACTCTGCTGGCTTCCAGTAATAGAAACGAAGTGTTACTTTTGTTCTACTGGGCACAAGTGTTATTTACCTGAACCTCAAACCTAAATTAATTATCCCCTTCAATTAACCGATACCTTGATTTGACTGTTCTAATGATGTGTTTTCTTGGCCAATTGATGGTAATTTACCAGATGCTCCAAACAGAGCAAGATATTAATAAGTACTGGCAAAGAGGATTTGTCTCCTGATGTTGATTTTGATGCAGTTGCAAGCATGACAGATGGGTACTCTGGAAGTGACCTTAAGGTAGTATTTGCTACCTTTCTTTGATATGTGATTATATTCCCATGTTGAGTTTGTGAGTGACTCCTATGTCTAATTGATTGTATTGCAGAATCTCTGTGTAACTGCTGCTCACCACCGCCAATAAAAGAGATATGGAAAGGAAAAAAAGGTATTTTCTTTGATTTGATGAATGACATTACTATAAGGCTCCAAGAATAAGAAAATGTAAAAGTAGGGGCTGAAATCCAATGATTGTGTTCTCTGATCCGATGTGTGTGTATCTGAAGGCTTTTTGAAGGGAAAAAAAGGAATAGACAGTAGTTAGAAAAGTATATTCTTATATTTTCATTTTAGATGCAATTTTATGAGAATCTAATATGTTGACTGATTACAGAACGTGCTGCTGCATTAGCAGAAGGTAAACCTGCTCCAGCTTGATGTGGAGTGGCTGATATACGGCCTCTAAACATGAACGACTTTAAATATGCTCACGAGCGGGTAAGTGAAAATAAGAATTCAACTATATTTCTTTGTGTTGTTCATTTCATTGTTATAACATATTGTTGACAAAATAGGTATCGCAAGTGTCATCAGAGTCAGTAAACTGACGGAGCTTTTACAATGGAATGAATTGTATGGTGAAGGGGGTTCAAGAAGAAAGAAGGCTCTGACTATTTCATGTGAAGAGATGTGTTACAAATTGGTTATTTTCTTTTAATTATCAGCTGTGCCCAGTAATTTTGCCAGTTCTTACGGGGTGCCATTTTGTGTAATGAAGTATTAGCTTTTAAAGTTTCAGTAATTAAATTTGAGAGTTGGAAGTTTTGTTGTAAAGGAGTGATGGTCAGCCTTCTGAAGTTTTGATGGCTGCAGCTGCACTACTTTTGTTTACATGAAGAGCATGTTCTATGTAAGTTGTCAATCAACATTAACATTACTCAGAATTGAGAAAAAAACCCTGTAGATACATTTTTGTAATTACTTTCTGGTGATTGTAGTATCTGCCACTAACATTAAACTCTTAATTATATTAATTACACTTCCATGAAAATTCTTAAAACATCTATGGTAATCACAAAACCAATGTTTAATAAAACCTGGTGAAACCCAAAGTTGTGGGTCTAGTGGTTTAACGGTTTGACTGAGTCAAATTGGTGTAAAGTTTAAATTCAGCAAATACACCTGAAAATTACAGTTAAGTTTCTAAGGTTTGAAATTTAGAACACCTCAATACAATTGATATTTATAGTGATTGTTTGGGGCGGTACACCAAATGCAATCTCAATCATCCCTTGAGTAATTCCCTATAAAATTTACTCAAGATCTCACCACTAACGTGTCGACCAATTTCTGGATCTCACCATCACTAGCGTATAACCCTCTCGTCACCACGAAAATACTTCCATTAGTCTCTTGACAAAACCATCTCACCCACCACTCATTTACCTGCCATTGTCGACAAAGTTGATATTGTCTCAGCTTTTTTTTTTTTTTTATTTCCGGTCGATTAACTCATCGGAAATCACTTTTGTTCATCATTGCACTCACACACTTTTTTTGAAAGCTCCCACATCCAACCTCAATTGTTGCAATCAACATTCCAAATTCTAGGTTTTGGGTAAAAAGAAAATTGTTAACCTGGCCCGGTGAAGGTCCTGGTTGAACCAACACAAAACCGAGGCTATAAAGGGGATAGTTTCTGGGTATAAATTATTATTTCATAATTGGAAAAAAAAACTTTTCTATATTTATATTATTTGACATAATAATGTTTTTTCTATAATAATTAAATTAAAAATTCAGATATTAATTAAAATATTTATGAACTATAATTTATTTAAGATTATATCAAAATTAAAACTAATACTTTAGTATTTTGATAGTATATTTTTAAAAAAAAAAATTAAATTATATTATTGTTAATATATATATAATTTTATATTTTGAATGAGAATATTTTATTATAACATATTAACTTTAATTAATGCTTTCAAATCTTAATAAATAGATTATAATATAGAAAATTTTTATTATTCAATGTAAATATGTGATATATAAATAAGTATGCATATTAATCCAATAAAATAATATACTTAATTAATAATATTTATGTATTCTTAATATAATATAATTTTAAAAATAAAAAATAACATATTTAAAATTAAATGTAAATTTATATCATTTTTTAAATAATATAAATAACTTATTAATAGTAAATATAAAAATAAATAAAGTATTATTTTAATTATACACATAATATATAAAAAAAAAATTTGCCCAACCTGATGGGTTTCTTAAGAAAATCTATTGGGATTAGTAAAAGTCTAATCCATTCTCCAAGAAAATTGGCCACGGGTTGGACTAAATTAGACAATTAGTCCAGACTCTAATCCCTCCTTTATCCCACTCTCAAACATAGCCAATAGTTATTCGTATTAACCTCAAATGGGGTGTTGCCTGTGGGCGGTCTTGATTTAGGCTTAGACTTGTAGCTGACCTATGACTCATTAGCGTTACCCAATGTTTAGTCTCGGTTTGTTCTTTGACCGAGTTGACGATTGTTTTTTTTTTTTTTTTTTTTTTTTTTAAACTATCTTATTTGACCTCTGTAATGTATTCTTCATTTTTGGGCCCTTTGGGTGTTGCTTTCAAGTAAGTATGCTGCCTTGAGGTCTTGGCACACTGCTGGCACCATTGCCTCGTGTGACTATTTTTCTAAAAAAAAAAAAAAAAAAAAAGATGTTAATGAAGACGGCACCTATGATACATGTACTGGAAAAACTCAGCTGCATTATTTTCGTATTTTTCTGGCTAATATCTCATTGATAGCTTCTCATCTACATCATTAGTAGACCGTTGAAGATCTATTTACGGTGTTAGTGGGTCCTCTATATACTGTTGACTAGAATATTAGTGACATCGAATCTTTGTTTTTTTCTTTCAAAATAGTTAGTGAAACTACTCTTGGGTGGAGAATAGTTGAATAGGGACTCTTGGTATTACTAAGGTTATGAGTTGATTTATCTTGGTTGCTAATAAGAGTGGACCACTGAGGTTTATCCAACCATTACTTCAGTCCTGAGGATTAGTTGAGATACTTACAAACCGACCTATACACCATGGTCATGAAAAACAAAGAAGAAAGAAGTTCCTTAGTTATACCAGAAAAACTTGATGATATAAATTTAATCAACTCTAATTCTATCTAATTATTAGGACAAATAATTTAGTTAGCCTAATAGTCCTACCAACACACGAGGTCTAATATTTTATCCCCATCATAGCCGCATTTTATAAAAGACCATTTTTAACTAAAATCTATTAAAGGCTATAGAGTTTGTAAATTTTACTAAATGGCCTTGTTTGATTAACTAATTAAACATGATTAGGGGTTATTATGGATTAATGAATAATTGGGTAATCTTTTAAAAATTATAATAGTCTCTAAAGAGTTGAAAATCTCGCAAACAAACCCCAAACACCTTATTCTTCTTCCCCCCGCCACATTAACGCATTCCTGCCATTAACATCTTCCTCCAACACAGATCCTCCCGTCCTCGTCTCCTTGCTGCTGAAAAAGCGATCCAGGTATGTGTATCTCCCCTTTCGATTTACAAAGATTTATGATGATTGGGTTTGGGTTATGATTTTGATTTAGCTGTTTAGGCTATTGGGTGTGTTGTTGATGTAATGGAAGTTGAAAGGGTGAATTTGTTGAAACTTTGTCTGCATTGTGGGTAGCTGGGGTGGTAACACCGATTGTAGGTGGAGATGACTGAAAACGTGTTTGGATATGATGGATTGCTTAAGCGTCTGGTGTACTCCTTAGTGATCTAGTACGTTTGGTAAAGCAGCAGATAGATCCTTAAGCAATCAGGTATATGGCATAAGATCGTTAAGCGATCTGCAAAAAGTCTGGTTTATAGCGCAGATCGCTGTAAAGCGATCAGTAAATAACATAATATCGCTTAGCGATCATGCCTATTTCATACTTATTTACATGGATCTGCTTAAGCGATCCTTATATCGTTTAAGCATCCATTAAACAATATACTACAGATCATTAAGCGATATAGCATTCTGTCACAACTACTGTCATAGCTTTTTAAAATATTTCAACCCTTAGTAATCAGTTAAGAATATTTTTTTCTTGCATTATAGGTAGTTGGCTATTATTAGACAGGGACAGTTGTTTTGAGTGTTGAATATTTTGGGTGGGTGGAGGAAGAAAGTAGGTGGAGCATTGGAAGAGCAAGAAGTATACCAATTGCTGTAGCACAGAGTTTAGTTTTGATGATTTTGATGAAATAATTAGAAGAGGTGATTTGAGTTGCTCACATAGTGATATGTTGTGAAGTATGCTTTAAGTAGAGTTCCTGAACATTATAAGGTACTCCTGCTATATTAAGTCGGATGAAAGTGTGAAGTTATATATGATTGATGTGGCCGATAATGGTTTGAGGTCGATTTTAAGGTTTCTTTTGTGGAAAATCGTTGGAAGTTGGTTCAGAAGGGGATATACGAGGAAGTTGACGGAGATTTGCCTGGTTTTAATTTGAACTACGGGGCATTGATTTGGTTATTGAAAAATAAGAGTAACGTTGAATTGGGTGGTGAGAAGGACACTGTAGAAGATGTGGTCATGTGCGACATAATGAAAATGTTAAGGAGGAAGACCCCTGTAATGTTTCCTGCAGATGTAGAGATTCCTTTAAATAAAATTAGCAGAACGTGTAGTTTGTGAGGAAGAGAACCTATGGTCGTTTATTGTAGGTTCAGAGGGGGGCAATGAGCAGGTAGTAGTAAATCAGCTCATGTTTTTACGGATGGATCGGAGTTGCGCATAGGGTATTTTTTGACAACAAAGAAGAAGTGGTGAGGAAGTACTAACTTGTTGGGTGAGAGTAATTTTAGCTCATCACCAAAAGTCACAATTCATTAGTTGTGACGGTTGCATGTCGTGACCGAAAGTGCAATGGTGGGTTTATATAGATAGGTTGGCAGAGTCCAAAAATTTATTCTTAGCACTATACACGTGAAACACTGTGGTTTGGGACATATTTCAGGTGAGCATCGATAAGCCTCCGCTGATGTTGATTAGACACATTTGTCAAAAGTCAAGTTCGTTGACGGGAAAGGTCCTCT